TACTTCAGTTCAGTAGTTTTGACGAGTTATTGATTCAAAGCTTAAATAATACTAATACATCATCATTAGTGGAGATCAATACATTTGGCAGCAAAGTAATTTAAAAATGAAGAATGAACTGACCCGTTAGGCAAGTAAATGTTGAAAATGGCCACCATGCCTCTCAATGCAATAATAAAGATTTTGCTCAAAACGTTGCCGCACATTTTGCAATATTGGAGGATTAATTTGAAGGCACTCATTCACAGTTCTTTGTCGCAGGTCTGCTAATGATCTTGGCTGAGTAGCATAGATTTTGCTTTTTAAATAACCCCACATAAAGAAATCCAAAGGTGATAATTCTGGCGATCTTGGGGGCCATTCAATCTCACCTCTTCTACCAATCAATCGATCTGGAAACGTCTGATCTGAATATTGTCGAGCACATAATGCGTAATGTGGTGGGGCACCATCCTGTTGGAACATCAACCTATTCGCAATGTACCGCCGATCATTCTGATTTTCAATTATGGCTGTTAATGCAGGATCTATGGCGTCTTCCAGTAATTCCAAATACATTTCACCGGTCAAATTTCCAGGTACGAAAAAAGTACCAACTAAATGATCTTCAAAAATACCAGCCCAAACATTTAATTTTTGGGGCTGCTGTGTATGAACCTCATGATAAATTCTGGGATTAGAATCGGACCAATATCGGCAGTTATGACGATTTACTACGCCATTTAAGAAAAAGGAACATTCGTCGGAAAAGCAAGTGCTGAATGTTCATCGTTTATAATTCGTTCACTCATATCTTCACAAAATTGTAATCACCGATCAAAATCGTCTTCAATAAGTTCTTGTACCAGGTGAATTTTATAGGGATGAAAACTTGGGCCTTTAGAATCCGTTGGACAGTACGTCGACTAACACCACACAGTCTCCCATTTGCGGGTACTTAACGTAGGATCTACATAAACTTACCCTAAAACCCCCACTTCTATTGCTTCGTTGCTTATGGGATTTTCAATGTTGCGTTTTTTATTGGCGACTGACCCAGTTTCCCGAAATTAATTATTTCTGCTGTTATATTAGCGCACTGATTATTTCCGATAAATATTTCGATATTTTCAACTCTTTCTGCTGTGGAATATACCATGGTTAATTTATGTAATAAAGCGTTACAAGTTATTTTAGCAACAAAGTTTGCTCAAATCAATCGCAAACTATGTACTAAATCCCTATTTAAAATAAGTACAAGACATTTCCTTATCTTTCTTCAAGAAATAACTTTTTTGCCCCAAAAAAAAGCTCCAATAAGTATTTTCAACAACAAAATGATAAACAAGCCATGGGCGTAGAGAAGAAAAGCATTTACTTATTAATTAAAGTCTGTTAGTCAAATTTCTTCTGAAAGCAGTACAAACTAATCTGATGTACCGATTAAAGTTTACTTTACACTTTAAATCAATAAATCTTCAAAACTACTGAACTTAAGTTCATGTATTTTACATCATTACAAAGGGAATTGAAAGACTTTTAAAATAAAGTATCACTCGACTCCTCTTTGCATTTAAGATTTTAGGGTTGGTGTCACCTCCGCCCAGGGGCTGCACGTGTTAACGTGTATTTTTTGCCAAACTTGTGTCCCCCTCGAAAACAAAATCGACGGGTCTGGGCATTTTTCCAAAAAAAAAAAACTGAATGCGTATGTGTTGTTTTCGATACGCCACCCTGTATAATGTATACACAAAAATAACTCAAAAAATAGAATTAGCTATTATAATAGTACCTGAAATTCGACAAGATCTTACTGATAGAATCAAAATCAATGTTAGAACTGTCTGCTATGGAATTATGATAGAAAGTTAGAGTTCTTCTCGTATTTAACCATGGTATACAGAAATTTAACCTCTGAAGAAGTTCTGGTGCATCCACTCTGTCGTGCAAAAGCTTATGAAGGAATGACAGAACAGCAGTAGAACGTCTTAACTGTAGAGACACTAGTTCAAAACGACGCAGCAGAACAAATTGAGAGACCCCCCTTTCTGGATATGTGCCATCGATTTTATAAACAGAGTATTTAAGAAATTTTCTTTGTACATTTTCTAAGATGTTTATATAATACGCATAGAAAGGGTTTCATATAAAAGAAGCATAATCAAGTTTTGGTCGCACCAGTGAAATAAAAAGAGCTTTTAGTGCCGCTACATTAGAAAAAGATCGGCAGTTACGCATTATGAAACCCAGAATCCGGATGTGACGCGTGCCACATGGACAGACAAGTCCAATTTACACGAAAATGTTACACCAAGATCTTTAGTCTCTGTTGTTCTCTCCAAACCCGCATTATTTATGGAGTAATCAAACATAATCGGGTTTTACGACAGTATGAACATACTTTACATTTGGAAATATTTAAGAAGAGAATTTTATTGTCGCACCACTGTGTGAGGGTATGCAGATCGTCCTGAAGGGAAATACAGCTCTCCAAATTTGTAGTTTTGGTGTAGATTTTCAGATCATCATCAAATAGCAGACATTCACACTTTAGTGAAGCGGCTAGGTTATTTATGAAGAATAAAAACAGCAAGGGACCTAGGTACTCCAGAGGGAACAGTATAAGAAAGATATGAGCTTAGAAGACCGACTAACGAGTCTGTAAGGCCGAAATAATGAAGGCTATTCACAAGAAGATGATGGTTTAATTTGTCGAAAGCCTTGCTGAAATCCATGTAAATAACATCGACTTGTTGTTTATTGTCTAACGGTTCTGCTATATGCTGCGTAATTGTCATTAGATTTGACGTAGTGGATCTACCTTTGATGAAACCATGCTGTGTTGTTGTAATTAGGCTTTTAACGTTCTCGAAGATAAAAGAGTAAATGGCCATTTCAAAAGTCTTTGCAAAGTTGTTCAAAATGCTTATATATAGTTGAGTACATCAGATTTATCACCATCTTTCAGGACCGAACACACCTTTGCTATCTTCCAACCATCAGGAAAAATTCCACTTTTTAATATAGCATTGAAAATTATTAGCATCGGCTTGACGAAAACATGAACACAATCTTTAATAATAAAACTAGTAAGACGTAAGTTTATTTTGAAGCTAAGAGAGAGACTTTAGTACATCCGTTAATTCCTCCAGATAAATACATGGTGTTGAGGTGACACTATCTAAAGAAGACGGAATATTTCGAAGAGTAACATAACACCTGATGGAGTATTAAATACGTTGCCGTTGAACTGATCTTGGCCTAAAATTCTGCTAGAGTGTCTCTTATTCCGAATGTATGACCAGAACTTCTTCGGGTCGTTGATTATACTGTTCTCAACCGACGACAAGTAAGGTACCTGTACCAAATAAGGCCACATTAACGTTTGGATAGCTGTAACTGCGTAAATATTTGCGAAAGGTATTATTGTAGATATGTTTATTACACAAGCTACATCGGAGAACTCAGAAACCTTTTCTTTTCATATAAAAAAAATATATTTTTCGAAACACAACCGTTGGCCTTATTAGGAACCCATGTATCCAAATAAGGCCACCATCTGGTTTTCAATAAAATCACAATCAAAATGTAAATCAAGACTGTATAATAAACGAAGCTATATTTCTAATTAAACAAAATTAAAAAACACTTAAATCTAGACAGATTTAAATAAAAAAAGTCAACTTGTTTAAAGAAAATCATACAGAATCTTAGATTTTGCCTTCGCAATGATGGCACACAAATGATACTTTATCACCTCTACACAAGCCTACACATTCCTCATGGACATACCTTAAGCATACTATACACAGACGCATGTCACGTACTTCATCCTTATCGCATATGAAACAGTACCAGTTTTCGTCTTTATTCTTTCGGGACCTTTTGCTTTTAACGGTTCCAGACTCACTAGATTTTTTTATTGTTTTATCTAAGCCGGATGGACCTGGATTTGGGTCTTTAAACAAATCTCTTACGACGATTTGCGCAGTAGAATTGATGGCTTTTCGTCTTTTTGTGGCGTTGGCCTTCCTTCCGGGTGTGGGAAGTACTTCCCTGAAACTTAGATCCAATTGATCACTATCTATTTGACCAGTCACAAGATTTGTTGTTTCAAGAACTGCAAACTTTTGAGTCGAGTTTATTTCTTTTTCATTAGAAGTAGCTGTTATCTGTAACATTGAAGTTTGGCCATCAGTAGTGCAAGGGGTATGTCATCAGATTCTGTAAAGCTGACATCATGGTTTTCCTCATTCTCCTCCTGAACATCTGTAGCTGCCGTATTTGAATCGGGCCTCTCTGACATTAAACTAGGTGTAAATGCAGTCTCCGGGATCGCAGCTGGGTCGTGTGGGTCCTATTGCGCGAAATCCTGACTGAAGATTTTCAGAAGACATGGCCCTTGGATGCACTTTCCTCAAAATTTCTCCAAATCTTGCACGATTCAACTTCCTGCCAGGATACCGCTTGTAATGGTTAAGTATTTCATTTTGCCAATGATATTCGAAACTACGGAAAACACATTTATCCAGCGGTTGCAGCACGTGTGTCGTGTTACTCGGAAGACACAATAAAGTATTGTGATGTTTTTCGGCGGCGTCAACAATAGTTGCATCCAAATGAGAAGAGGCACCATCAAAAATGAGAAGAATATCTCCTGGTGGATTATAGTTTGCTAGATGGTCTAGCCATTTAACTTTCTAGTTTTTTGAAGTAGTCGTTTACAATGTACTTATTTACTTTCTGTGCCCTAGCTGGATTTAAAACCTGTGCTTTCCTTTGGCGAATATTTTCATGTCTGTCCAAAAACAACTTCAACCATTTTCTACCTGCCATTCCACTATTTTCATTAACCCATATATGCCTATTGTCCGGAAAATCGAACAGAGAGCAGGTAACTGTAAATGAGCGTATATTCGAGCCTTGCGCTTCTTAATCACAGATGTCGCTTTAACGCTTGGAAGTTCAAAGCACATTCAAATATAAACAGGTGTTGTTAGGTTAGTTGTAGTTATTTTGTAGCAAAAACGATACAGTTTAACGCAATGGCGCACATAGATAGAGATTATGCTCGATCTTTAACACTTTGTCGGTAAGTTTTGCAAACTTTTAATGATCATTCAGATTTTTGCTGACAGATACGTATTCTCTAAGATACTAGTATATACATGCTTTTTGCTGCTTTACAGCAGGCGTACAGCAACACGTGTTTTGTCCAGGCAGGGGTAAATTTGCGTGTTCGATAAAACGAACAACAGGTACACAAGGGTATATTTTGTATTTCAGTGGCTTGACGTTGGATGATATTTTGAATACGCTGGATGACGACGATGATGAGACACTTCCTAACAGCCAAGAGATAGACATTATTTTACAGCCCCCTACAAATGCGTGTCAGGATTTGACAGATGAAGATTCGGGCGACGAGGATTTGATGATCATTGGTAACCTGCCAGGCACACAACTTATGGCAGAAGCTGAATTATTCGGCATTACTCAAGAAGATAAGGAGGAAGAAATAGGAAATGAAATAGATGAGGATGATTTACCGCTACGTAGCTTGCAAGTAGCCATAAAAAAGAATTACTTATGGGAAAAGAGAGATTTAGAACCTCGATCTTTTGAATGGCCAACGTACATCGATGTGAAAACAAACTTCTCACCTACAGAACTATTTTTTCAGTTTTTTGACAACAACGTCATCGATATGTTTGTAAAATATAGCAATTTGTACGCTTCAAAAAAGAACGTCTTGAACAGTACTATCACTGAAGCGGAAATGAAAGCGTTCTTCGGCATCTTGATTTTGAGTGGTTATGTCCAGCTTCCACGCCGTCGTATGTTCTGGGAGAATAGCAAAGACACCCATAATGAAGTTGTTTCTTCAGCCATGTCAAGAGATAGATTCGAATTTATTATGTCAAATTTGCATTGTTGTGACAATTCCAAGCTATCTCAACAAGATAGATTTGCGAAAGTTCGGCCACTTTTTGAAGCAATAAATAGAAATTTTTTGCCCCGTACGAGCTGCACACTCAGTTGATGAGTCCATGGTACCTTACTTCGGGAGACACGGCTGTAAGCAGTTCATCAAAGGGAAGCCAATCCGTTATGGATTCAAAATATGGATGGATGCAATATCATCTTCAGACTGCGCTGGCTATTGTGTGTGGTTGGAACCCTATCAGGGATCAAACACTCAAATTCCCACGATGTACAAATTGTTTGGCTTAGGGCCATCCGTTGTGCTGCATTACAGTACCGTATTGCGCCAAATGCTATCTCTCCCGTATCACATTTTTTTCGATAATTTCTTTACTACTGTGCCACTTTTGGAGGAACTTTTGCATAACCTTAAACATACAATTTATAAAATACAAAATATTTAAAACCTGGCGACGACAAATAACTAGCTGTATTATGTTCTATAGACTTACCTGATTGAACTGACAATAGATTTCGCAAAAAGAAGCAGACAACATGAAAAATCGAAGACAAATTTAAAGTAGTAATTTTGTAAGGCACGTGTTGAAAATCGACACTGGCCAACTGCGCCATCCAGCGCCGCTCCACACCTGCTACATTTATGGGTGCTAACTCATCTCAATGAAAGTATAGAACTGTATAAATCTTTAATTCTAGATGTAACTAGTGTCTGTAAAATCTACGCATGGCCTTATAAGGAGCTTGGCCTTATTTGGTACAGGTACCTTACTCACTGTAAGCAACTCTAATTTGTCCCTTTATGATTCCGCGCAATCTAGCAAATTCATTGTAATAGTAAACATTGCTTGTTCTCTTATATTTTCTGTAGCAGTAATCCTTCAAATTTATTTTACTCATAATTTCTCTAGTATACAAAGGAGGATACCTGAACTTGCAGGTATTGGTATATTTAGGAACATGAATATCAAATATTGGCGACTAAATTTCCAGGCAGCGGCGCGGCTAACAGCTTATCCCCCTAACCCGCGCCCCTCGTTTCCGAGAAATTTAAGATTTAAATCGCCATCACCCTTATGGCCCTGTACAGTATTAACTGAAACAAGCTTCGAGTCCATATGTTAAGAATGAACTATTGGCATTAATATTGATCGTCACGTTACAGTTAAAAATATTCGTTATTCGCTTGTCTGGGCGGTCCGTAGGACCTTTGCCCATTAGTCACTATAGTCAACGCCAAACAAAGTGGCGTGCACGACATCACGATAAAAATTCCCCGACCTAATGCCTAGGTTTCTATCACAAACAATTGCTCTATTGCAGTTTCATATTAATGTGATATATAAATTGTAAAATGGTCATTACTCTCTTATTATGGTTAATAGTCATATAAACATTGTTATTAAAATATCACATAAGTTGCTTTCTGATAAATTTAGACGCATTATGCGAAATAAAATGTTTTGCAAACGCTCCAATCACTTATCGACATGTAAACGCACTAAACCGATTTCGCAGCGTTGACACATTGTCACCTTGAAACTTACGTATTATTACTTACGTATTTAAACTGGAAACTGACATTTGTATTAATTTTGACACTGAATCAATTTGTGGCATTTCAAATCTTTATAAATCCTTTGGCCCCGCATACTGTAAATCAACAACTGTTTGTTTCAAAACAAAATTATTCATTTTACGAGTAGATAAAGGCAATTTTGGTATATAAAGATGCCCAAACAGTTAAATAGTCGGTGTAAGGAACTCGTGGCCTCGTTAATGCACTACTTTGAGCAAGAAAGGGACAACAACGGGCCTTTGTTGCCTTTAAATGCTGTTCAAGAGGTAGGTTACTAATAATTATATGTAATGTATATTAATAATAGTGAAATTTTATTTCATTTTTTGTAGCGTGTTGCTGCTCCTTTAAAAATTAGTTTAAGGACAGTTAGTCGTATTTCCGAGGGTGTGAAAAGTGATGCAAATTTAGAATCGCCCAAGAAAAAGCGGAGTTATATTAAACGTGTAACCAACACAGCGACATTGGATACAAGTGCCATTCGAGAAGTGATCTATAATATGTATCACAAAAGTAAGATCTTATTATAATAACTTATCAGAAATTTGCATTAATTTGTTAACTAAATTATAAAGAGATAGGGCATTATTTGATGGTAGTGCCACGTCTTTAAGGCGGTTGCTTAGAGATCTTGGATTTAAGTGGCTTAAGGACAATCCGCGACGAGGGCTCATGGAACTACCAAGTATAGCTTTGAAAAGGGTGGAATTTCTAAGGCAATACAATCAAGCCAAGGTTGAGGCCTTATACCAGTTTGTCTTCCTCGATGAAACTTGGATATTTCAAAATGGGACCATAGGTCGCTCTTGGCAAAATGGAAACCAAAAAAGCGTGAAAGCTATTAAAACAGATGGTAAAAGGTATGTACTTTTACACAATTTGCACTATAAAATTTAAAACTAATATATTTTAGATACATTATATTACATGCTGGAAATGAAAATGGGTTTATTGAGGGTAGTGAAGCGATATTTTCTTCGAAAACAAAATTGAGCGATTACCATGGAGAGATGAACCAGGACAATTTTTTGAAATGGTTTCAACATCAGTTATTAGAAAAATTGGAGAGTCCATCTATGATTATACTGGATAACGCCCCTTATCACAGCATGATATTGAACAAAGTGCCCAACAATGCATGGACAAAAAAAAATATCCAAGACTGGTTGACAAATCAAAACATACCATTTTTAAACACAATGTTTAAAACAGAGCTATTGAGTATTGTTGCTCGGTACATAATGCTTCTTAATTATATATATTTTGGTCGACAGTTTATATTTCTTTTGTTTATTCCTATTCTTAAAATAACTGCTTCTTTAGAAACAAACCACCTAAAATATACGTGATTGATGAATTGGCAGAACAACATGGGCACAAAGTTCTTCGTCTGCCTCCTTACCATTGTATATTTAACCCTATTGAGTTAATTTCGGGCATAGCAAAAGGTTACTATAACAGACATATTGGTAGAGATGGTAACAGTGAAAAAGACTGTTTGGATATGTGGAACGAGGCTCTACAAACGGTTACCCCAGACATGTGGAAAAATAGTGTTCGACATACTGAGCAAGAAATTTTTAAATGGTATGAAAGAGAACGAATTTTTGATCGTCCAGACATCGAACCTTTAATAATCAACTTTGAGAGTGATGAAGATTCAGATTCAGACAGCGCTGAAGAAAGAAACTCCGACTAACTTTATTGTACAGAAAAAGCTTACACCAGTAGCTTACCTAATTTTAGAATGCATTTTTCTGTATGAATTCTGTAAAATAAATACCATGCATAAAATTTGGAGGACCCCATTTGGATTTTTATTCAGTACCTTTAAGCTATCAATTAAATATGTTAGTTTCATAGTGTCATCTGATCAATAATTGTCATACTTAATGATTATGCAAGTACAGATCTATAATTTTATTATACTATTATTTTTGTTCTCATTTGAGGTTAATATTGCTTATAAACCTAGATATGTAAATAATAAATTTTATTATTTTACAAAAAGTTTGGTAACAATGTAAATTTTTCAACACACCCACCTTGATGACGTGCACGACACTTTGTTTGGCGTTGACTATATCTAATATACGTTAGACGAATCTGTCAGTCCTGGTTGCCCAGAAACCAGAAAATGTCAAGGAAAAAGAGAAAGGGAAAGAGAAGAGCAAAGAAAAACATGAGTGTTTAGATTACGGTTAATACATTACCTTGCCCAGACGTAATACAAGGTGTTCCTGAGCCTTTCAGAAAACGTCATCGGATAACCAAGAGCAGACCACGTTTCTCCGTACAAACTTGTTGGGTGTGGATTTCCCATCGCATAATGCCGTCCGATCCAAACGCCGTGAGAAAAGATACCTACGAATGGTACCTTAAACTTCGCTGCAACTGCGTACAAAGTAGGGGTTGCGGTAGCTTCTGCCAGAACTAGGTCAAATCTTGCATCTGTAGCGTTATACACGTCGATGAATCTTCTGTCATTGAGTATTGCTTCTGCTATTTTGTACTGCATTTGGAAGACTTTGCGAATTAACGAATAGAGAGGCTGTTCTCTTGACATGATTTCTGGTATGCTTGTTGTTCTTATTGCTGCTGATATCACATCACCCACGTCTATTTGCGTTAAGTTCGTTAGTTCATCGTCCTGCAGAGGGTGTGTGGTAACAATCGTTACCTGGTGCCCTTTCAAAGATAGCTCCTTCCATATTGCTTGGTATACAAGTTGGTGACTTAAAGAAGGTATCTGAAAGATACCCAAGATTCGAGCACAATTCCCTGACGTCCACAACACAGGCAAAAAATAAATAACGTATTTCATGAGCCCTTGACGATGCATTAAGCTCATTGAAGGTATCTAAGTATCTTTTAACACAACTGATATAAAATGTCACTATTATAAAGGATGACCGAATATATTTGTTAGCCTTTATTAGGCACTGCGCCATTGATATAACGTTAATGGGTAGATCAGATAGCTTTAATGAGGTAACATAACGAACAATGCATGTAGTTGATCAGAATGCAATGTCACTCCTAGGGCATACAGTAGATAAATAGATAACCGGAAAAGTTCATATAAAAATGGGTTCTAAAATAACCTCTTACCATATTTAAGGGCATTGGATACCTCTTGACATCTAGCTCACAAATATTTGTAATTTTTAAATTTCACTTCAGTGTGCCATGAATATGATAAGATGATAAATTTTGTATTAAGCAGTCACAGACAAAAAGATTTGATTGTCTTTTGTTGTTTATAGCCTCTTCAGACTCGTTTATACTTTGCAAAATCGAATTTATGGTCGTAAGTCAATTTTTTCAAATAGACCGAGGGTGGCTCACAATTTGATACCACACAAACGATATTTGGTTTTTGTTTACCTGAAGTACTTCAGTGTCTAACTCATATTGTTAATATATACTAAGTGACATATAAATCCGAACACCCAGTTTAAATGGTTTTATTTTAATAAAATTTTGTATAAGTACTTAATGAAGCATAATAAGTAAATGATAAAAATTTCAAAATGATTGCACTGCTTTAAAGTCCTTTGACCTTTAATAATGTGTGGATGCACCCTGATGTGCTACGCATTCTCCAACGCGCCTAGGCATGCTTCTGATCAGGTGGTCAATGTCCTCCTGTGGTATCTCATTCCAGGCAACCACCAACTCCTCTCGAAGTGCTTCTAGAGTCTGAGGAGGACGTTGTAAATTAAGCAATCTCCTACCCATCATATCCCACACGTGCTCAATTGGGGATAGGTCGGGAGATCTTGGTGGCCATGGTAACAATGTGACATCATTATGTTGAAAGAAGTCTATTGTGACTCTTGCAACATGTGGTCGGGCTTTATCTTATTGGAAAGTTGGATCTTCCAGGGTGTCAAGATAGGGTAAAAGATGGGGTTCTAGAACTTCGTGGATATAACGCTGCGCGTTCATGTTACCTCTGATGAAGATTAAAGGTGACCTGGAACCATAAGCTATAGCACCCCAAACCATAACTCCAACAGTGTGATGAACATGTCTTTCAACAAAAAACTGTGGATTCATCCTTTCACCACGTCGCCTTCTAACCCTGGCACGACCATCGTGCATGCCTAAACAAAATCGAGACTCGTCACTAAAGACAATACTGTTCCATTCCTGATCCCAGAGTGACCGTTGTCTGCACCACTCAAGGCGATTACGTCGGTGTTCTCGAGTTAAAGGAAGGACCCAGTGTGGCCGGTATGAAAACAAGCCAAAACTTATCATTCGTCGGTAAACACTTCGCATGCCAATAGGTCTTCCGTGTTCTGCAAACCATTCAGTTGCAATGGACCTGGTAGTGGAGAAACGGTCTCTTAAGGCCAACAATCTTAGGCGGCGATCTTTACGGTCTGTTGTTCTACGGCGGCGTCCAGTGCCCCTTGCTCTTTGCGTACGGCCTTCTCGAAGCCATGCCTGATAACACCTAACCACAGTGTCTACACTTCATTGCACTCTAACTGCAATTGCCCGAAAAGAAAGTCCAGCTTCCCGAAGTCCCACTATACGGCCCCTATCAAACTCACTAAGTTGACGAAATCGTACAGGTCTCCGGACTCTAGGCATCGTAACCGAACGTAAAGGATGTCAAGAACCAAAATCCGCCAACGTTGATTCTTTACTGCGGCTGAAATATTCATTTTTAGAGCGTTAGTGAATTAAAAAAAAGCAGTATAAAAACCGGAATGTCCAACTGATAAGGCTGAAAATTTTTTCACTTGTTATTTACAGTAAGATAAATACATTCACCAACTTTTATTAAAATAAAACCATTTAAACTGGGTGTTCGGATTTATATGTCACTTAGTGTACTAACATATGGCAACAAAATGAAGGCGCAGTATGCACCTTGTATGCGGAGAGGTTTCCTTGAAATCATCCGGCCTCACGGGTGTTTGTAAAATAAGATCAACGAGGAGGCCACGCTGGAACACCTGCTCAGCCTGAGATGTTACAAACTGAGGAAGACATTTTAGAAATGGTCGAAGACGACCAAACAATGAGTATCTACTAGAGCCATAGCAGCATAGGCTACCTTTACACGAAATGAAGTGCACAATTTCCACAACAATCATGACTGGGCGGTAGAAAATCCTCAAGCTGTAAAACGAACTCATTTTCAACACACATTTTCATTAAATGTTTAGACCCTACCTTTTTCCACCTCGAATGACCGATGAAATTTATTTAGATCTTCTTCGACACAGTCTGTCACAATTATTAGAAGATGTTCTTATAAATGTGAGACAGAATATGTCGTTTCTATATGATGGGGCTCCACCACATTTTATACGAGAAGTTCATGGATATTTAAAATAATTAGTTTCCGATTAGATGAATAGGGCACAATGGACACATTTTTTTGGAAATGCTCACTCCTCGGATTTAACGCCTATCGATTTTTTTCTGTGGGGCTATTTGAAAGAATTGGTGTATCATGATGGAGCAGTAAATGCTCTGGAAAAACTTCAACAGGGCACTGAAAACGCTTGTGATCTAATTCGTAGACACCAAGATTTTATATTCGAACCTTGTAAAAAGTCGTGGATTCGCCAAGCAAGATTTCGCGTTAATCTAACAAATGGGGATAATTTTTAACAGTTTTTGTAAAAACGTCATCCATTTAACTTGATTATGATCTTCTTTTAAATAATTTTTAGTAATGTAAACTAACTCTCCTATTATGCAACTTTCATTATTATATTTATATTATTTTTGGCATATCAGCTTCTTAAGACGAGTTCTAGAAGCTGTTAAAATGAATGACTCAACTTTGAAAACATCCTGTATTCTCCATATTTCATTACAAGCGTTTATGTGGATACTTCCACATGTATTTTTTTAATAACAGGAGCATTGGAGAACAAAAGCTATTTTATTTCATGCGTTTTGCTAGCTAAATGGTTTTATTAAGCAAAGGCACTTCTAGTTCTCTCTATCTGTTTCATTTGACTAATTCTTATAATCACTGTTGTAAAATGAAAGTCCTAGGTTCATTTTTTCAAATACAGAACAAGACTTGGAAATAGCTAGACCATCAGATGATGGGTGATGACCAGCACTTATCATTATAATTTTTCAAACAAATATATGTTAGATAACACGGCTTATATTTGAAACGTGCATTCCAGAACAGCAACCTCGCTAGCACCAGCGCGACAAGCTGATATTCTATCTTTGTTGCGCTCTGCGCGGGTATTAAAAATATTTCTATTATTTTGAGCCTTAAGGGCAAATGCGTAGAAAATATATACAGGATGGGCCAACGAAAAGGTCGCAACCCCATTTTTACCCCTCCCCCATCTTGTTTGCTCGTAGGTCCGTGGTCACTGAATCGATTTTCAAAACCAACAAAGTTTTTCTTTCCTTGGCATAGTATTGTCAAAGTTCATCAAAAACGAACCTATATTTTCCAAGTTACAGAGCGACCACTGATAAGCCGACACAAAAACTTAGTATCTCATTTTTGAAATTCCCGCAACGATGACGATACTTGCCAACTGCGTTGGAAAGTAAAAGAATAAAAAAGTTACTACGATCCCCTTCCCACTTCAGTAGGCCCACTTCAAGATTTGTACCAAAATATGCCTTTATAAATTAAACATGACGAAACTATTTACTTCTAAAACAATTTGTTTTCTCAAAAACATTTTAGATACACTCTAATCGTAAAAAATACATATTTGAAATCACTTAGACCTATAACTAATAGAACGTCTGAACAAATAAACAATGTGCGAATAAATGCGCGAAGTTAACAAAGCAACAGTTGAAAGATTACCATTGGGTAACCACCTTTATTTTTTATTACGGCTGAAATTCTTTGGGGCATAGTGTTAACCAAGTTTTGGCAAAAATTTGGTGTAAAACAATCCCATATTTCTTGAGGCTTTTGTTTCAGTTCGGTGATTGTACGAGCAAGATGTTGTCGAAGAACCTTTTTCATCTCGTGCCACAAAGTTTCAATAGGTGACAGATCTGTGCTGCTAGAAACCGATTTTAAAAGCGGTACATTATTTTCTTGCATCCATTTTATAGCATTTTTTAAGGTATGGCACGCTGCACCATCTTGCTGAAACACAAAATCTTGGCCGGATGTCAAACATTCTGCCATCACTGGTAAAAGCAATTCTTCCAAAATTGTCAAATATTTGTTTGTATCCACATTTCCATCATTAAATGAAGTTTTCCTACTCCTTTTGATGACATTCTGCCCCAGTCCATAATGAATGCTGGAAATTTCACTTTTCTCTTCAGACAGTCAACATGGAATGCTTCATTTTTTTTGCGAATAACTCTGCTGCGACTGTCACCAACACAAACTTCGAATCGGGCCTTATCACTCCATTGTATTGCACACCATTGTTGAGGTATCCAGTGTCTATGTTCTTTAGCCCATCTAAGCCGATTTTTCTTTTGCAGTGGAGTTAATAGTGGCTTTTTTTTTGCCTATAAACAAGTTGTGCAACTTTAGGGTTTTTACTTCACTTTTTTTTATAAGAAAACTTACCTTGCAAGTGCTAAATCCCAGTTTGTGGGCCTCTCTATGAGTTGTGGACCTCGAAATTCTCCTTCCAACAGCGTCACTCCACAGAACACTTAATTGTAAATAATTGGCACGCCTGTTTTTCACGATCATTCTTCTTAATGCTCTTCAGTCGGCATTTGTGATATTACTTTTTTTCACATATCGTGGTTATATTAACTGAACCACTTAAGTTATATCTTCTAACAATATTTCTCACACTGTACCGCGATAAGTCTAACAAAGTTGCAATTTCTGAGTTTTATTTCCCAGAATTAAAAAATTTAATTGCCAGTAACCGAATTTTCTCACTAATAACCTTTCCTCTACCCACTTTGAAAACCTTAACTACCCAAAACTATTTTAAATGTATTCTGACAGCTGTGATTAATAAAAACAATAGTCATGGCTTTTACTTTTCACAGTCACCTATGCATTATAGACTTATTTTGTATTGAAATGAAAATAGGTTGATATGCTGTAATTACAACATGTGTTATTTTTATGCTGCAAATTTGATTAGGAAGTGATAAAGTTGGTGTTTTCTACTATATATTATCAAAACATTCATTGTTAATATGTTACACCCTGCTACATTTTTATTATTTGTATCTGATAAGAAAAAACTAAGATTTCAATAGTTGGACCAACTGAAGTGGGAAGGAGCTAGTACATACCTGCTCCACATGTAATACAAAACGTTCTTTATCTTCTGGAACAGCTTCATCCGGCGACCATGCGGGAAAAGAATGTCCGAGTATGTAGCTAACGGATTTGGGTTACCCATCGCTAGGTGCCTCAATGTCCCAACACCCATCGAGGAGACTCCTACAAGTGGTGCTCCTAATTTTGCAGCCACGGGATAGAGAACAGGTGAAAAAAATTCTTGCACGATCACTAGATCGATCTCCGATGTTGAGGCATTGTAGATATCAATAAACCTTCTCTCATTCAACACTACTTCCGATAATTTGTAAGACAACTCAAAAGCTTTGCGTAACTTCACGTGGCTCGGAATATCTCTTTCCACGAGAAATAGGGACTCTATCCCTTTAAACACTCTAGACGCGCCATCACTGATGTTTATTTCAGTTAAATTGACCAATGCTGGATCGTTTAGAGAAAATGGTGTTACAACAGTTACTTTGTGATGCTTCGAAAGCGCTTTGTATATAGCTTGAAACACTGTATGGTGGCTATATGAAGGTAGATGGAAGATTCCTAAGATATTAACACTTTCCACAATTGTGCACAGACAGATAATTATTGTGCACACCTTCATTTCGTTATAACAAAAGCGTAGGTTCCTTTTCTAACATGGAATCTATGATGACACAGAACTTTTTATTGTTGAAGTTTTAACTTATCGCACTTAACGTAATTTGGCAATTATTTCTAACGAGTTTCTAGTTAGCAGTTTTATGTTAAAGTACTATCAAATATGGCTGAGTACGCAACGATAAAATACTGTCAAACGTGGCTGAAGTATACGATTACCTCACTAATACTAGCGTGTCAAACAAACCCTATTGTAATAACCTACCTTAATGCAAGATTTGAAATTATATAAAAAATATCCTCAAGTATTCAGGTCTACCTTATCTCATCTTCCTAAGGATTATGTTGTTTCAGATTGTGGGCGTTCTCACGTGGTGGAACTTTTCCGTCATGTGTTTGAGATATTTGTTTCACACGGAAGGTACTGTTTTATTAACCCAGATATGCCTGCAGCTCAAATAAATTATAATAAAGTATGTTCTCTGCAAATTCATTCTATATGAAGCATATATTGAACAAATTTATTATTTTTTAAATTTTATTTTAGGAAAAAGTTTAAAAAATGCCGTACAAAATGTGGTACACTAGGCACATAGGCGAACATTAAGGTTTAGTATGGAAGGACAAAAAACATTTTACATGCATCCTTACATTGCACTTAGAGCATCTTGTTTTTGCTCTATCATGACATAAGCCACATCTAGTTGGCTGTTCTTGTGGTATCACAAAATGATCTAAACGATCATAACGTATATCTATATATTCATTAGCCGAAGGACGTCCTCTAGAAAAAGATGGCGGTTTCTTGTTTTCTTGTAACAAGGCTGTGGCAAGCCGCTGTATAAATAATAATTGATCCATATGTCCTCCGTGCGATCTATATTAAGTGACATATAAATCCGAACACCCAGTTTAAATGGTTTTATTTTAATAAAATTTTGTATAAGTACGTACTGAAGCATAATAAGTAAATGATCAAAATTTCAAAATGATTGCACTGCTTTAAAGCCCTTTGACCTTTAATAATGTGTGGATGCACCCTGATGTGCTACGCATTCTCCAACGCGCCTAGGCATGCTTTAGATCAGGTGGTCAATGTCCTCCTGTGGTATCTCATTCCAGGCAACCACCAACTCCTCTCGAAGTGCTTCTAGAGTCTGAGGAGGACGTTGCAAATTGAGCAATCTCCTACCCATCATATCCCACACGTGCTCAATTGGGGATAAGTCGGGAGATCTTGGTGGCCATGGTAACAATGTGACATCATTATGTTGAAAGAAGTCTATTGTGACTCTTGCAACATGTGGTCGGGCATTATCTTGTTTAAAAGTTGGATCTGCCAGGGTGTCAAGATAGGGTAAAAGATGGGGTTCTAGAACTTCGTGGATATAACGCTGCGCGTTCATGTTACCTCTGATGAAGATTAAAGGTGACCTGGAACCATAAGCTATAGCACCCCAAACCATAACTCCAACAGTATGATGAACATGTCTTTCAACAAAAAACTGTGGATTCCTCCTTTTACCACGTCGCCTTCCAACCCTGGCACGACCATCGTGCATGCCTAAACAAAATCGAGACTCGTCACTAAAGACAATACTGTTCCATTCCTGATCCCAGAGTGACCGTTGTCTGCACCACTCAAGGCGATTACGTCGGTGGTCTCGAGTTAAAGGGAGGACCCAGTGTGGCCGGTATGAAAACAAGCCAAAACTTCTCATTCGTCGGTAAACACCTCGCATGCCAATAGGTCTTCCGTGTTCTGCAAACCATTCATTTGCAATGGACCTGGTAGTGGAGAAACGGTCCCTTAAGGCCAATAATCTTAGGCGGCGATCTTCACGGTCTGTTGTTCTACGGCGGCGTCCAGTGCACCTTGCTCTTTGCGTACGGCCTTCTCGAAGCCATGCCTGACAACACCTAACCACAGTGTCTACACTTCTTTGCACTCTAACTGCGATTGCCCAAAAAGAAAGTCCGTACTCTAGGCATCGTAACCGATCGTAAAGGATGTCAAGAACCAAAATCCGCCAACGTTGATTCTTTACTGCGGCTGAAATATTCATTTTTAGAGCGTTAGTGAATTAAAAAAAGCAGTGTAAAAACCGGAATGTCCAACTGATAAGGCTGAACATTTTTTCACTTGTTATTTACAGTAAGATAAATACATTCACCAACTTTTATTAAAATAAAACCATTTAAACTGGGTGTTCGGATTTATATGTCACTTAGTATATAAAGTTGCCAGGAATTATGAACAGCCATATCAATACAGTGGCTGATCAATGAAAAATACACACTTTTTACCCCGGATGGAAATGAGATACAGACCAATATTTTGTTCACAACGATCAACGCCGCCCATATTTGCGTTGTATACATTTACAAGATGAGGCTGTTCTTCCTAAAATCAAAAGCATTTTTGAAAACATTGATTTTCTTGCAGATTGTGTTTCTTACCTGAATACTTTTTTTATCCTTTTGAGAGAATCGCTTTGCAAAGCGAATTGGTTGCAACCCTGCGGCATTTGAACAGAGTGTTACTAAATTATTGCCATGCCATTTTACTGCAATTATGTTTGTATCGGAAATTTTGTTGTAATCGTAACTACCTCGTTTTTCCCGTTTCATAATTTTAGAATCTCTGAATTGGACGAATTGTAAACGATTTTCTCTAGCAGTACCTGTCAATTTTGCCATAAGAGGGAGAGAAGTGAAAAAATTGTCGAAAACTAAATGAAATTTTTCGTTTGGCCATTTTCTCCTCAGTGCATCAGAATACTCTAATACCACACCAGCACCAACCTCCAAATCTGCATAATTCTTACTAATGTTGGTTTACCACCCTTGGTAAGATTCAACCTAGTAAATGTAGCCTAGTCTTGATGCGCCAACCCATAGTTTATAGCCGTATCGTATAGGTTTTCCGTGAATGAACTGTTTGCATGAGTGTCTCCCAAAATAAGGAACCATTACCTCATCTACACTATGCATTTCTGTCAAAATTCAATGTTCCATAAATTTTTCATTCAGGCTCGCAAATAAAGGTCTAACTTTTGCAAACTGATCTCCTTGCTGTAAATTGTAGTTATCTACTAAATGGAAATTTGACATAATATACTCAAACTTATCTCGTGTAAGCGCTTCTGTGATGAGTTGATTATAAGCATCTCTTTCACGTTCCCAGAACATTCTTCTACGTGATGCATCGACGTAACCACTCAATATTAATGTTCCAATAAATACCCTTATTTCATACTATTGCACCTCTTGTTGGCGATACTTTTGCCTGGCATATCTATTTGTTTCAGTTGTTATGAGTGTTATAAGTTCGCCGTCAAAAAAAAGTGAAAACCATTCAAGTGGAGTCTTAGAAGAATTATTTTGTTCAAGAATTTCTTCGAAGTTTCCTGGAACTTCTTGTGGTAGATCCTCCTTCACCCATTTGTACGTTTTTCGTTTCTTTAGCTTTTTATTTTTAATTTTTTTAGCCAATTCAGACAATGTAATATTATCTTCAGAATCAGATGAAGATATGCTAAATTTTTTATGAGGTATGTTTATCTCAGCAGGTGCTTGTAATTGTGAACCCGGTAGATTATCAGCTGCATTACATTCTCATCGCCGGAGTCCTGGTCTGTGAGAATGTCACAAGCATTCATTGGAGGCATCAATGTGATATTATCCACATTTGCTACTACATCTTCATTATCCTCCAGCATAGCAAGGGCTTCCTCCAGAGAAAAGCCCCTAAAAATGAAACAGGCATGTATTTTCCTGACGTACAATATTTTGCACACTCAAATATAATGACGCAACTGTGAATCCGAAATAATAACATAAGTAATTTGGCATTTTAACTGGAAAAAAGCATGTGTGTTTTATTAATAGAAGCAATTAAAACATTTTTTTTATTTACGTAAAGACCATATATTTACTTACTTGGCAAATCGTATTCCATATTCAGCCATGTCACAAAAAATAAAAACTTCTTCACAAAATCGCAAAAAGTCTTAATACAACGGTAACACCCAACCGCACGTTACGATTTACTAAGGCTTACTGAATACATCTGTGCTACTACCTCGTCAAAATAAGCACAGGTCGTTGCAAGTCGCGACTTGTTTACGGTGTACCATAAATTGTAAGCTAGACATATCTGGGTTAAAATCGAAATACAATTCGATTTTTCTACCATTTTATCGTGAAGCTCACGCGAAAAATGGTACTGATTAATCACAAGCGGATTTTGTTGAAAATTGAAAAAACACTTTTAACGCAGATGCATTTATTTAGAGAGAAGTAATCTATTGCACTTTTCTCTTCAGACAGCGAACATGGAATGCTTCATTTTTTTGCGAATAACTCTATTGCGACTGCCACCAACACAAACTTCGAATCGGACCTCATCACTCCATTCTATTGCACACCACTGTTGAGGTGCCCGTTGTCTATGTTCTGTAGCCCAGCTAAGCCGATCTTTTGCAGTGGAGTTAATAGTGGCTTTTCCTTGACCTATAAACAAATTGTGCAACTTTAGGGTTTTTATTTCACTTTTTTTATAAGAAAACTTACCTTGCAAGTGCTAAATCCCAGTTTGTGGACCTCTCTATGAGTTGTGGACCTCGAAATTCTCCTTCCAACAGCGTCACTCCACAGAGCACTTAATTGTAAATAATTGGCACGCCTTTTTTTCACGACTATTCTTCTTAATGCTCTTCGGTCGGCATTTGTGATATTACTTTTTTTCACATATCGTGGCTCTATATTAACTGAACCAGTTACGTTATATCTTCTAACAATATTTCTCACACTGTTTCGCGATAAGTCTAACAAAGTTGCAATTTCTGAGTTTGATTTCCCAGAATTAAACAGTTTAATTATCAGTATCCGAATTTTCTCACTAATAACCTTTCCTCTAGCCATTTTGAAAACCTTAACTACCCAATACTATTTTAAACGTGTTCTGACAGCTGTGATTAATAAAAACAATTGTCATGGCTTTAATTCTTCACAGCCACCTATGTTTTATAGACTTATTTTGCACTGAAATGAAAATAGGTTGATATGCTATATGTGTTATTTTTATGCTGCAAATTTGATTAGGGAGTGATAACGTTGGTGTTTTCTACTATATGTTATCAAAATATCCATTGTTAATATTTTAAACCTATAACACCCTGCTACATTTTTATTATTTGTGTTTGATAAGAAAAAAACTAAGATTTCAATAGTTGGGCCAACTGAAGGGGCTCGTATATGTTACTTGTTATGTAACAACCAAAAGGCATAATGTCTGATTTTCTAAATTCTCGCAGCGATTACGACACTTGTCAACTGCGTTGGAAAGTAAAAGAATAAAAGATTACTCCTTACCTGCTCCACATGTAATATAAAACGTTCTCTATCTTCTGGGAAAGCTTCATTGGGCGACCATACGGGAAAAGTATGTCCGAATATATAGCTAACGGATTTGGGTTACCCATGGCCAGGTGCCTCAATGTCCAAACGCCCATCGAGGAGACTCCTATGAGTGGTGCTCTTAATTTTGCAGCCACGGGATAGAGAACAGGCGAAAAAAATTCTTGCACGATCACTAGATCGAACTCCAATGTTGTGGAATTGTAGATATCAATAAACCTTCTGTCATTAAACACTACTTCCGATAATTTGTAGGACAACTCAAAAAATTTGCGTAACTTCACGTGGTTCGACATATCTCTTTCCTCGAGAAATAGGGACTCTATCCCTTTAAGAACTCTAGACGCGCCATCACTGATGTCTATTTCATTTAAATTGGCCAATGCTGGATCCTTTAGAGGAAGTGATGTTACAACAGTCACTTTGTGATGCTTCGAAAGCTCCTTGTATATTGCTTGAAGCACTGTATGGTGGCTATATGAAGGTAGATGAAAGATTCCTAAGATATTGGCACTGTCCACAATTGTATATAAACAAATAATTATTGTGCACACCTTCATTTCTTTATCTGAGGTTTGTGTTACTTTTCAAACAGGGAATCTATGATGACACAGAACTTTCTGTTGTTTCAGTTTTAACTTACGGCATTCAACGTAATTTGGCAATTATTACTAACAAGTTTCTAGTGAACCAATTTTATGATAACATAATATCACTTGTGGCTGAGTACGCGACGATAAAATACTGTCAAACGTGGCTGAAGTATACGATTACCTTGCTAATACTAGTTTGTCAAACAAATCCTAGTGTAATAACCTACCTTTATGCAAGATTTGAAAATAGATAAAAAGCGTCGTCAAGTATTCCGGTTGACCGCATCTCATGTTACTAAGAATTATGTTGTTTCAGATTGTGGGCTTTCTTACGTGTTGAAACTTTTCCGTCATGCGATTGAAACTTCTGTTTCACATTAAAGGTGCTGTTTAGATAAAAGCGAAATGCAGTCAGACTTTTTCACATGCGTATTTTGTTTTGAAATTTCGGAGAATCCGCACGGGTATCACGTATCTTGAAAACTGACATTACGCCGATTTTTTATGACATTATGTAGGTCTAAGCTGTAACTTGTATGTGTTGATGATAATTACATTGGCTTCTTGTCTCAAATACTCTTAACCCTCTATTTCATATTGTTCCCAAATGGGAACAGTAAATTCTATAACTTCCTATATTTTTCCGTAAGCATTTACCAAATTTGTATGCATCAAGTTCCCACACGGGAACGTTGTTTAACGATGTCCATACGGTGCTGTATAGATGGCGCCACATATACAACGTCGAGGTAAGAATATCCGTCATCCTGATCTTATAATCAGCTGATGCTTTTCGATGTGTTTTCAATACATTTTTAGGAATGATAAAGTAGGTAAGTTTTATGTTATATAATTATTATTTGGTCTCTAAATATGTATTTGATACGTAGGGTGGTTGGGTGTTACGTTGATTTTTGTGCATGTAATTACTTTTTCTGCAGATATTAGTGTTCCTGAGTGGGAACATTATGCACAGCGATAATATTCTGAAAATATAGGTTAGCTTTGGATGGACATATTTTGTTCCCAAGTGGGAACAATATGCATTGGTGTTTTTTTTTGTTTATACTATATATTCAATATGTTTGTCAACAGTATATTGTTTTTTCCAATATATATCCAAATATTTGTTTTACTAGATGATCTTTATGGATGTGGACATGGAAAAACTCGGCCCAGTGAAGCCCAAAGTCTTTTATGGTAAAAACAATACCATATTAGAGACATTCCATCTGACAGTGAAGATTCCATATTGGAGGATGACATCGAAGAGCCAGATATTCCAGTTGGGAGAGTAATCCAAGATTCAGATGACAGTGACGATGATTCTCCGTTAGTCCATTTGCTTCCAAACATTGCCTCCACCAGCAAAGCTTTTGAATTGAACTGGGCAAGTTTCACTTCTCATACTGATGTACAAGGAACTCAATTTCTCGGAAGCTATCTACTTCCCCAGGAGTTTCTAGAGCTGAAAACGCCTTACAAAATTTTCAAGTTTTCTTTTGATATTGTCTTTTTAGACAAAGTTGTTTATGAGACAATTTTGTACAGCACTCAAGTACGTCCCAATAAGCCACTGCAATTGTCGAAGGATGAATTGGAACGATTTCTAGGTATACTCATATGGATGTCATTTATAAAGCAGCCAAATTCAAGGCGGTACTGGTCTCCTAACACCCGAATCGACCAAGTGGCTGATGTTATACCAGTTAACCGTTTTGAAGAAATAAAAAGATTCCTTCATTTCACTGACAACCAGAAGATTACCACAAGCACAGATAAAATTACGCCGGTTTTCAACCAGATAAAATCAGCTTGTCAGAAGGTACCTTTAGAAGAAAATTTGTCGTGTGACGAACAGATTGTTCCATTCTAGGGACGAATTTCTCTGAAAACCTACAATCCTAAAAAATCCCATAAGTGGGGATATAAGATATGGGTTTTGTCTGGCGTACGTGGTTTTACTTACAATTTGGAGTTGTTTTCACGTAAACAGGATATTGAAAGACATCCGAACGAACCCGATCTTGGAGCCGCCAGCAATGTGATTGTACGTCTCTGTCGAATTGTACCAGAAAATTTGAACCACAAGGTCTACTTTGATAATTATTTCGCAGGAATAAATCTTGCTAGTTTACCTAAAGAACAAAGGAATTGAAAGTGTTGGTACTGTGCGTCCAAATCGTCTACCAGGCTGTAGATTTCCTAATAAAAAACGAATTCAAAAAAAGGGCAGGGGCACCTGTTTAGAAGAAAATTCAAAAGTCGACAATCATGTAATAAGAGTATTCCAGTGGTACGATAACAAAGTTGTTTCCCTAATTAGTTCCTTTTGTGGTACTAACCCTACAGTTATGGTCCCCAGATTTTCAAGGCAGCAGAAGAAACAAATTGAAATCACTTGTCCAAATGTGGTACAAATTTACAATAAACATATCTTCAAGACTCTCTTTTAGGGCTATACCGATGTCACATCAGAAGCAAGAAATGGTATCATGGCCTTTTTTATCACATGCTTGATGTTGCTATCGTAAATTCGTGGCTCCTAGACAAACGTATAAAAAACAATTGGGCAAGCAAGAACAAAATATATCGCTACTCGAGTTCAAGACCGAAATCGCTGTAGCAATGTGCAATGTTGGAAAAAATTCTAGAAAGCGAGGTAGACCAACATCCGTTCAAATTGCAGAGAGTCACCAAAGCAGAAGATGTAAGGAACCTACTCCAAGCACTGAGGTCAGGTATGATGATGTACAGCACTGGCCTCAATGGACGGAAAACCGTGAAAGATGCAAAAATCAAGCTTGTAAGGGAAAAAGTCGAGTTTTATGTCTAAAATGTAAAGTCGATCTTTGTTTTTGTGCAAAAAGTAATTGTTTTGTAGAGTTTCATACATTGTACTCCATACCCATAATGTTCCCAAGTGGGAACAAAATTTTGTAACCCTTTTTTTAATAAAATATGTTTGACACATTTTTTTTATATTTTATTTTGACCACCCAATGATATAACTCATTAGTAATAATTTTTTTAGGGCAAAAGAAACATGTCAAATAAATCATGCAATAGAGGGTTAATTGAGATTCAAAGCTAGAAATAAGTTGCGCATCCACTTTTTCTTATCCATTCTGGAAATTACATATACAAATTTGTTGAATTTCAATATTGAGGGAGATAAGAAATAATTATATTCAGTGTACACTGTCGAATTACAAGCCATATACATGCTAACAGTAATTACACACAACGCGGCCGCGGCGATGATTTCCCGTAATTCTCCTCAGTTTTTCGTAATTTATAACTGTGAACGTAACATCTCTTCAGAAAGCACAACATATAAATAACCCGACGTATTCAGCATATTCAGTAATGATTTTATCACACTGCAAATATCACTGATTCTATACACATGCAGATCAATACACATAATCATCCAGATGCGATCTTGTTATTCAACCAACTTTCTTCTCAGAGATAAAAACTACAGCCTCACAAAACTATGCAACCAGTAATGCGTGTATAGTTTAGTTGAGTGATTCCTTCATAGATGGACGTTCACAACGATCCTAGTGAGCAAACCTGGAATCACTGTTTGCGTCCTAAAAGCTACCTAGTCTGCAAGTTGACATCTTATATGTTTCTTTTTGACGTTTTGTAGGTTTTTTAGATGATACCCTAATTTCCAAAACCAATGTAAAATAGAATAAAATCGATAAAAGAAAACCGTTAAAGCATTAGTTGGTGAAATTAGAGAAAAAGAGTTACCCTCCGGACATAGGTCCAATGAACGATTTCTCGCATGATGGACTGACAATCAATCCACATGTTCCGACATTTTCCCTGCTAATGGTTAAAAATGAGTACAGTAATAGCTTTGTCTGCGATAACGTGGTTAGGAATTAGTAGGCTGTCATCAACTGTCATTTCATGATGATTTTCGATGATATTACGAGGTATCTCACTTACTAATAAAGATAGTGAGTTGCCGTTCGTGCAATACTGTAATTCTTTCTTGTGAAAACAGAATTTTCATAGTTCGCTTCGTTTTTGAGATACAGGGCAAAATTGAAAATATTGCATATTGAGGCCCCCTGGTAGCTCCATTATCCTTTAACATATCGCAAAGCTAATACAGAATATACAGAATCCAGTGGCGCAGTCAGATTTTTTTATGAGATGTCAATTTTTAGCTATACTCGTAAATCTGACTTAGTTTTTTTTAATGGGACACACTGTATACGTTTTTCTCATTTGACTTAGAATGTTATAAGAATTACAGGAATATATAACACACGATGTGTATTATAACTAATATATCCAAAATTCATAATTTCACAAAATGTGATTAATACGACACTCTTCGTAAGTATTGTCTAAGTATTAGAAGACCCTGAATAGTAAAACAATGGAATGATTATTTGCTAAGCCAATATCAAAACCTGTCATCTGCAAAATTTATACTTTGCAGCTTTAACATATCCATAATACTAGGCATTGGCCACAAGAAAATCACACAGACATATACAGGGTGGCCCATCCCTGCGTGGACGGAATATTACTCATAAACAAATACATTTTGAGAGAATCTATTCATATGATATTATACATGACATTTTGGGGCACATTTACAAAATATTAGTCATTACACAGAGTGTCCCAATTTCGACCTACATTGTCATTTTTATAAGGGAATGTCTCAAATTTTATTGCATATTTGAATGAATCAATTCAAAATAAGAAAACTGAGATATAAGGTGTTTTGTCTACAAAAACCCCCCACTTTGGCAACCCCTTAATTCGGCATTTTGAAATTTGGAGTGCTGGATTTTGTATAAAAAAACTTACACACATCAGCTGTTATTTTATTTGTTACTTTTTCGAATTTTAATTTTTGCTCATACAGGGTGGTCAAAAACGCAAATTGTAGTTTTTCTCAAATATTTCAAATGCCTATATATTTATGCGAGTTTGGATCAATTTTTTTATAAGCTTTTTTCTGATACTAGACACATAAGGGTTTTTACGGCTATTTTTTGGTTATTAACACGCATGTCTTTTATGGAACGGCTCAATTTCCTGAAATATCGCATCATCCTTGGAAACAAATAAATTGTTGACTAGTTACAAACTGTCAAAATTAGCTTTATAATAAAAACGTGTTTGAAAATGAATTTTTCCAAATAAGAAATGATAAATAACATATGGTATTCGTTTTGGGCAAAGCCCAAAGAAATAGTTTCCTAGCATTTCGTATTTATAAGGAACGGTACTCTAATATGCGACATCCAAGGCCGGAAACATTTTCCAAACTATGACAAAGTTTTGAATCAAGTGGAGCAATGGAATATAGTAAAAAATGTATGGATAATCCAAATGTCCCCAATGAGGCGAATCAGTTGGAGGTTCCATTAAAGCTGCAGGAAAATCCCTATTTAAGTGCACGATAAATTGGAGCAGAAACTGATATATGCAGAACTTCTGTCCAAAGGATTATTCACAAGCATAGGTACCATCCATATCTCCTATGCTTGCATCAAAGCTTTCGTCCTCAGGATTTTGCAGCTCGAATGGAGCTTAGTAGAATAATGCTAAATAAAGTGAGTGAAAACGCTACTTTCCTGGATAAGGTTCTTTTTAGCGATGAGGCAACTTTTAACAGCATAGGTGTTGTCAGCAGGCATAACATGCACTATTATGCGACGAAAAACCTTTACTGGGTTAGGCAAATAGATTTCCAAAATAAATGGAGCTTGAATGTTTGAGGAGGAGTTATTGGCAGATAAGTTATCGGGACTTTCTTTTTCGACAACAGATTAGCAGGTACAGAATACTTGAATTTTTTGATCGAGCATTTGCCTTTGCCTATGGAGGATTTCAGCCTGCAAACTCGGATGCATATGTACTTCCAACATAACGGCACACCTGCGCAATATCATAATCGTGTGCGTAACTATTTGGACAGCTGGAGTAACAATCGTTGGATCGGTCGTGATGGGCCTATATCTTGGCCTCCTAGATCACGAGATATAACACCGATAGACTTCTTTCTATGGAGCTACGTTAAACAAGAGGTTTATAGATATCCACCATCCACCCCGGAAAATATGAAGGAAAGGATTAAGGATGTTTTTCTGAACATAAGGGAAACACATGCTGAGGGATGTGCAACGGTCATTTATCCAAAGACTACGGCTGTGTATTCAACATGGTGGAGATATTTTCGAGCAGTTTTTGTAGATTAGGTCTGGAGTAGTGATAGTTGTTTGTTTATGTTGTTGTTATAGTTGTGTTTCCCTATTACGCTTGAAGCTGATTTAGACTGTTCTGATTGTTATTAGTTTTTACGTCAAATCTGTACTCTAAGGCCCGTATCGTCAGTCGTCCCTACAATTGTAGGGCGCCTTTATGGCCTCCTTGATTGTCATAGTTTTCTACTTCTCCGTGTCGGCGCTCTATTTTGAGGTTATGTCACAAACATCTATTTGTATCAAATTGTGCTTGCTTTTGAGTTATGTCATGTTTTATCAGCATGAAATTTCCTACAATTTGAAAAGAAAACATATCTTCACAACAGGAGAGCGCTGACGCTGTCACGGGACAAGTGTAATCTAGAAATTAATAAACGCGCCCTACAATTGTAGGGACGACTGACGATACGGGCCTTAGTGGCAATATGGAACTAGCCCACTGTTTGACTTTTGTTTCCATGAGTGATGTGATTTTTTTTCTTAATTTTGGTGTGTTGTTCTATTAAAAGCCTAATAACTCAAAATCTAGCGATTTTATCTGAATCAAACCCTATACCAAAAAAGCTTATAATAAATTGAATCCAAACTTGCACAAATCTACAGGGCGATGGATTTAAAATTTTTGAGAACAAGTACAATTCGCGTTTTTGACCAGCCTGTATGAGCAAAAATGAAAATTCGAAAAAGTAACAAGTAAGATTAAAAGCTGAGTTATGTAAGTTTTTTGAGATACAAAATTCAGCACTCCAAATTTCAAAATGGCGGATTGAGAGGTTGCCGAAGTGAACGGTTTTTCTGGACAAAACACCTTACATCTCAGTAGCTAATTATCTAAACCCCATAGTATGTTATATCAGTTTTCTTCTTCTGAATTGATTCATTCAAATATGCAATAAAATTTGAGGCATTACTTTTGAAAAATCACAACTTTGATATGTAGATCGAAATTGGGACACCCTGTATAATGGCCAATATTTTAGGAATGAGCCCTCAAATGTCATTAATAGATTTCCAGAAAATGTATTTGTTTATGATTAATATTCCGTCCACCCTGTATTTAGAAATTTTGGAAGATGTTATCCCTGTTTTACTAGACAATGTCTCTTTTGCTTTTCTTAGCAGGATACATTTCCAACAGGATGTCGCACCCGTCCACAATGCCCGAATTGTTATTACTTTTTTAGGCAATAGTTCTCTGCAAAAATGATGGCCTCCGCGTTCCCCCACAATCCGTATTAGATTTTTTCTTTAGAGCTATTCGAAGTGTCAGATTTATAGTACCTGTCATCCGACAATAGCCGAACTACGTAATGCCACAAATGCGGCATTTCAGAACTTGCAAGGGCATCCGATAATCGTTCAAAATACCTTAAAAAGGTCAACCACCTAATGTCTACATTGCGTTAGAGAAAACGGCAACCATTTTGAGCAGTTCCTGTAATATAAAAGTCTATTTTGGGGTTAATATCGAGATCAATTTTATGTTAATATTAAGATGAAATGTTACAAGTTATAATAATAATAATAATAATAATTAACGTCTTTTATTTGTAATATTGTTACAGGAGGCGAGATTTAGATTATATATCTATTCTATCATCTAACCCCCTTAACAATACGAGATGTAAAAAAAAAGAATTTATTGAAAACTAATAGGCACCTGTATACAATAACGAATAATCCAAGTAAATACATAAGGAAAATATGAGGACACTTATGGGTTACAACCGATTTCGCTGCTGATCAAGAAGAACTTCTTTCACTTTTTTCTTGAATTTGGATAATGGATTAGTTTCTTTTAAACTGCGGTCTAGAGAGTTATATGATTTGATCGCATTGTAAATGTATGAATTCTGAAATAGAGACGTGCTGTGGCGTGGAATTGAAGAAGTCTCTCTATATCTAATATTAATACGATGCATATTACCGCTACGTATGAATTTGTTTACTAAATATGACGGTGTTTTTGAATAAAGAACCTTATGAGTCAGATTTAGGAGCTGGTACTTATACATTTTATCAATTTTCATCCATTTGAGTTCATTAATGGCATTCGATATATGATCATATTTTCTGAGATCATTTACAAGCCTGCAACATGTATTCATAATAGTTTGAATACGATTTCTTGTTATAATATCCAAATAGGGATAGTAAACCACTAAGCAATACGATATCTTTGAAAATACGAAATATTCACACAATTGCTTTCTCCCAGAGTTATGTAATATAGCCTTAAATGCAAATAAAACTCTGAGAATAGCGTAGCACTGAGTAATTAGATAGTTCACGTGTGCAACAAATTTTAAGTCATCATCCATTATAATACCTAGGTTTTTCGAATGATCCACAGGAATTAATTTATATATAACGTATATATACCTTTTAAATGTATGTCTATGTTGTTTTTTAAGGTATTCTTTCTTGTTCTATTTGCGTATACCAACATATTTGTCTTCAAAGGGTTCAAACGAAGATTATGACTACTACTGAACTTTTCAATTTGGGCAAGATCTTGATTAATTTTATTATTTGCCGTTTCCAAGTCATTACTCCTAAATGAATAGAAAGTTTGAGTATCATCTGCAAAAAATTGTATGCTGCATGATTTTACATCTGTTTCTAAATCTGAGATATATAATGAAAATAATAGCGGCCCTAAGACTGATCCCTGTGGTACACCAGAACAAATTTTTTGTTCCGTAGAGTACTGTTGATTTAGACGAACTTTTTGATACCAATTTTTAAGGTAGGTTTGAATAAACGAAAGAGGTTTTTCAGAAAATCCATAGTTATGTTTAGGTTTATTATCCGTTAATGTATAAATTGTTCCTGGCTGACTTAGATTTAGCTTTTTAAAATGTATGCGTCTGTAATACGCTATAACCAATAATATCACTATGATACTGCATAGATATATGGACATTTTGTGAAATTATGAATCATTTGGTATACATAACTTGTGTTATATATTTCTGTAAAGCTTATACAATGTTCAATCAGACGAGAAAAAATTTACAGAGTGTCCCACTAAAGAAGACAAGTTTGATGAATAGCTAAAAATCGACAACTCACAGCAACTACGCCACTGTATTCTACTTAAAAATGTGTGTAAGGGCAGTTCTTAGCTCTGCGATATGTTAAAGGATAACGGAGATATGCCGGCTACCCCAAAAATCAATATTTTCAATTTCGCCCTGTATCACAGAAACGAAGGAGGATATGAAAATTTGATGTACACCATATATCTTTACTATTTTTACTCGTAAGCGGATGCCCCGTAATAACATCGAAAATGGCACATTACATCCTGAAAGTCATTATGGAACTCCTTGTATAACGTACCTGGTCCAAATGTAATAGAGTGTGTTCCTGAATCTCGCTGAAAATGTTCCTGCCCCATGGTACGGGAAAATAATTTCCGAATACAAACTCGGAATCACTGGGTTTCCTATAGCATGATGTCCTCCAATCCAAGCTCCTAGCGAAGCAACTCCAACTAGCGGTGCTTTAAGTTTTGCTGCTACTGCATATAAATTGGGCGAAAAAAAGGTTTGAGCTAACACTACATCAAACTTGGAGTCACTGTTATTGTATATGCCTACGAACTCCTCATTGCTCAACACTATTTCTGCCAGCTTGTGGTTCATTTCGAAAATAAATTTTATTTTCTCGTAGAAAGGCTGCTCGTCGGACATGATGGCTGGAAAGTTGAGCTTCCGGAAAGCTTTAGAAGTGGCTTCGCTCACATCTATTTCTGTTAGGTTGACCAAGCTGGGGTCTTTCAACGGATTTGGAGTGACTACGGTGACTTGGTGACCTTGCAGTGAAAGTTCTTTCCATATCGGCTGGAAAACCGTCTGATGACTGTAAGAGGGAACCTGGAATACGCCTAGAATCCTAGCACAACCTACTAAGGCCCATAATGTTGGAAATATCACCAAAAACACCTTCATTTTTCAATCACAGAGCAACAACCGGTATTATTATATCACTATCACACTATTTTCAGTTTGAACTGACTGAGGTTTTGTTTATTCAGAATTGCTATAAATACATAATATATTCAAACACAGATACGGTATTATCTTTATTGACCTGATGTATTTTTTTTCATTGAGTTCCCTCTCTTGCTCATTTTTTAAACAAGTCAAGTTAGTAAGCTGGAATTGAAATGCAAAGGGCTCTGAATAAGGTCACAATACGGACATCAAACGAGGGGAGAACGCCCTGTAAGAAGGGTTTTGACAACATTGTCACATTTGCGAGCTATAAGTTTTCAGAGATTTGTTGGCGAGAAAAAGTTTTCAAAAGATGGAAGTTGACCCAGGAGGATCAACAGACGACGCAGTTCCACATACTATGAGGAAAGAGCTGAGCGGTGGCGGAAACCAAGCAAAATCAGAAAACATGAGCTCACTGACGCAGATGTCATCGGCGCAGAAAACGAACGAAAAACTGATGCTGATTATAGATGACCAGGCGAGGCAGATTCGAGACCTAGTGGAGAACATCAAGGACCAGACAGCCAAAATTGACACCCTGACCGCCCAGGTAATCATATTACTAAATTCAAAAGAATCCCCTAAAGAACAAAGACCCTAAAAAGACCACTGAGAAACGTTACTGATGATCATCTCACATCCACAGATGAAGACGTACAGACCGAAGGATTTGTAAAAGCAAAATCAAGAAGGAGGAAAGGCGACAAGGCTGATCGATCAACCCAAGACTTTCCTCCTCTTCCGAATACAGGATCAATTCCATTTCACACTTCCCCCAATTCATCAAATCGAACCACTATTAATGCTTCTACTACCAAGCCAGGGCCCACGTTTTCTACCTGTCAGGTGACTCCGTCAGCCGATGTTACTTCTCCTCCGTCATCTCGTCCAACCGTCGTGGCATCAACACAACCCTCACGACAAGGGCGCATAACCCCGATCGTCTTACGCGACGGGACGAGATGGCGTACTTTAAATTCCAAGTTTATTTCCCTAGGTATTAAATAGATCGCGCGGTTGCCGTTGATGCGGGAATAAGGATTATTCCTAAATCCGAGGACGACTACCGTAAGATCGTTCGCCTATTCCGAGAGGAAGAAGTGCCCCATCACACTTTTCCTCTCCCTTCGGAACGGCACATCCATGCGGTGGTTCGAGGAGTTCCCGTCAACTTTTCGGATACTGAGATTAAGGGAGAACTGGAGCAGAGGGCATATAGCCCTCTTCACATCATTCGATTGAAGCGCAGCGGCGGCGCGCCCATGCCTTTGGTGGTCGTGATACTGCCCAAGACTGAAAAGTCTCAGCAAGTGTTCAACGAACACGAACTGCTGGGACTGGCCATTCGAGTTGAGGTTCAGAAAAACTCCATACTCATTGGGCAGTGTCACCGCTGCCAAAAGTATGGGCATGCGCAGTCATATTGCATTGCACCGCCCAAATGCTTAAAATGTGCAAAGGACCACATGACGCATTTGTGCCCCCTCACAGAAGAGGAAGAACGCAAGTGCGCGAACTGTGGAGAGGGACATCCCGCAAATAGCCGGACTTGCAAATTCACTCCAAGGAGGAACTTGCAAGTTATAGCGCAAAGGAGCAATATATCATACGCGGACGCAGCTCGGGAGGCAACCTTGCCTGCCCCCTCTGCCCAACCTCCCTTGAGCACGCAAAATGTGGACCTGGCAACCGCGCTAAGGTCCTTACAACAAATAATAAGCCCACTGATTAGCGCTACCCAAGCGTTGCAGGCGATATTTCCTGTAAATGTCTAGGTACAATAGTAGACAGCCTGCATTCATCAAAATTCTTTTTTGAAATTGTTTGGGCATTAGGGATATTCCCAAAAAACGGGAATTTCATCAAGCTCTTTTGGATGAAGGTATAGATGTGGCCTTGCTGCAGGAAACGTTGCTTAATCCGGGAGGTCGTTTAGCTCTCCCGAATTATGATATTATCTGAGGTAACAGATTAAATGATCGAGGTAGCGGTTTAGCAGTGTTGATTAAGCGCGGTATAGACTATTATAGAAGCACTAATGCGGAGATGCATAGCATCGAAGCAGCTTCTGTGGTGGTCAATATGGCGGGAGGTGTCTCGTTGAAGATCACATCGGTGTATGTCAGGTGTGGTGCCAGGCTACAAGAGGCGGATCTGGAGGTCCTTTTGGACTACTCGGGTCCGCTTATTGTGGCAGGGGACTTCAACTGCAAACATCGAGCATGGAATTCTAGGTTGAATTCCACTAGTAGGGTTCGATTGTACAACCATGTGATGTGAAATGGGTACCTTATACATAGCACTGAAGAGCCGACGCATCATCCATTCAACCATCTTCAGGCACCAGATGTCATCGATTTCGCGATATGTAAAGACTGTAGATACAGTATCTCTTCTCGAATCTTGTATATCGCTAGTGACCATCTACCTGTTGTCTTGGATGTGGGCAATGAGCAAACTTTTGAGGAGATAGCTCCTCCAAGGAAACGCATTGATTGGGACCTATACAAGTTGCTCCTTAGAGAGTTTCCCAATATCCCGATTATAGATGATGAGTCTGGAATAGATGCCGCTCAAGCGGAGTGAACAAGTTTCATTCAAGCAGCTCTACAGCGTGCAGCTGTATTTCCTGTAAAACGACACGGCAGACCTTTTTTGCCTGCGGACATTCGTCAGAAAATCTCTGGCAAAAGAGCCGCTATTAAGCAGGCAAAAAGGTCTTGTCATCCCGATGACATTCGTAGGGCTACAAATCTTGTCCATGAAGTGAGAAACGCACTGCTCGAACTCCGCAACGAGCAATGGAGCGACTTTGATAAGCTAAACCATGACCTACTGATTGCTGTTCTTCACTACTTGGGTTTTTCTAAAAGTGCGGTTCATTTATTAAGAAATTACCTCAAAGATCGGGCACAAGTTGTCAAATGCTTAACATCCGAATTGTCTTACGTTTGTCGAGGTGTACCTCAAGGATCTGTTTTAGGTCCACTCTTGTACACTCTGTATACCTCTCAGCTGCACAAAAGTTTTAAACACGTCTCATATCACTATACGCCGATGACACTCAATTATATATTGCTTTTAATGAATCAGATATAAACCGAACTTTAATTAACATAAATGAGGACCTTTAGGTTCTTTATCAGCTAACAAAAAAATATTGTCTCTCCGTCAACGCCACTAAGTCTAAGGCTCTACTATTTGGTAAAAAAAGAATCGTGAACTATACTTCAATAATTTAGACATTTATTTCGGACAAGACAAAATAACTTTTACAAACTCCGCTAAAAATTTAGGGGTTATTATGGATACAGATCTACGCTTTTCCCAGCATGTCTCTCTTGTAACCAAAAGGGCATTATCATCATTGAAACTGCTATACAATAGCAGAACCATAATAACCAAGACAACAAAAATAATATTGAGCGAGTCTTTAGTCCTTTCTCACCTTAGCTATGGAGACTGCGCGTACGGCCCGTCATTGCTACATCGAGATAAGGCGCGCCTTCAGCGTATTCAAAATTCTTGTGTCAGATTTATTAGTGGTATTAGAAGGCGGCAGCCGATATCTCTTCACTTAAAGAACTTAGGTTGGCTCAATATAGAGAAAAGAAGGTTCCTTGATCGATCCGTACTATACCACAAGATACTCAATACTGAATCGCCATCCTATCTTTACAAGAAGATCAAGACCCGTACAGAAGTGCATAGTCGTAACACGAGGTTTAAACATCATCTCTCACTACCTAAATTTAAAACTTCAAATTATAAGTGCTCTTTTTCATATGACATAGCTAAGGTTTACATCTCGCTGCCTGATAGAATTGAAGCCCTATCAATTTTGAGATTTAAGCGAGAAGTGAAGACTATATTGAGACTTGAGAAGACTTAAAATTAACACTGCACGCTGATTTGCCAATTATTCTTCTGTTTGTCTTTTTCGTTTGATCCTTGACATTTTACCTTCATAAGATACTTCTAGCAATCTCATTCAAGCATCAACTCGTTTTATATTATAGGTTGTACCAAGGTGCCTGCAACAGTTATATGTCATCTATGGATGTATAATATAATATACAGGGTGTCCCAGAAGTCGACGTCAAGCCGAAACCGGGTGATAGGCAAAGTCATAACAGCTATCAGAAAAATATTTAAAAAAATTTTATGTATGTGTTTTGAAAATTATAGGTCTTTGAAAAAATATAGAAATTTCACACCCTACGGCAGTCTGTCAACTCCTGTTACTACAAATATTAACTTTTTTCGGATTTTATTTTTACAATGTAATGATGAATAATGCATCTTCAAACTGGTGCCTCAACCTTACTGCCAACTTCTCTCGTTCAGGAAAAATTGCCACTTATTTCCCAACCAAGTATTCCAAAGTAAAACTTTGCTCAACTTTAACTGGCTGTACTGGAAAAAAATGTACTACGAGGGTTTAGCAAGTAACCTTAAAAGTTGGCGCATTTAATAAGGATTCCAAAATGGTATAACACTTAGAAGATTACTTATGCACAATTTTTATTTGAAGAAAAACTGATGAAATCTTTTCAAAATTTCCTAATTAAACAGCGATTATGAAAACGCACAAGGACCCTTAAGGATAACTGTTTGCACATCTGCCTGGAAAGTTTTGATCGAGATACCCTCTCACTGAGAGTGCATAGTGCGCTGGGCAGCCATCATGCTGAAACCACATGTCCCTGTAAATACTCAGTGGCACGTCCTCCAATAGATGTTCTAAATGATTTTGCAAAAAACCTAAATAAACCTCAGCAGTCAAAGTCGCTGGGAACTCAAACGGACCGATTA